GAGCAACATAGTGAAACCCCATCTCTCTCTCTGTTGTTGTTGTTTTTTTGTTTTGTTTTGTTTTTTGAGATGAAGTGTTGCTCTTCTCGCCCAGGCTGGAGTGCAATGGCATGATCTCAGCTCACTGCAACCTTCACCTCCCTGGTTCAAGTGATTCTTCTGCCTCAGCCTCCCAAGTAGCTGGGATTACAGGCACCCGCCACCACACCCGGCTAATTTTTTGTATTTTTAGTAGAGATGGGGTTTCACCATATTGGTTGGCCAGGCTGGTCACAATCTCCTGACTTCAGGTGATCCACTTGCTTCAGCCTCCCACAGTGCTGGGATTACAGGCGTGAGCCACTGTGCCCGGCTGAGACCCCATCTCTTATAAGAGAAGTCACTCCTAGAGATAACCACTGTCAGCATTTTTGTTTTTCTTTCTTTTCTTCTAGCTAGAGCTAGTACCTTCTCCCCTTAGCAACCTCCTCATGCTTAAATTGGGGTGGCAGAACCAGTGTTTGGCTCCAGTGGTCCTCAGAAAGGTGGCTTCCAGATGCCAGGGACTGCTGGTGAGTGCAGGCAGCTTCAGCATTTCCTGGCCAGCTGACAAGATCAGGTGTCAGCCTGCCCTGCTGGTCTGGCTGGTACTGTGTTGTTACACCCTGCCCAGTCTCCAAGAGCTGTGGCGGCCCTGGACGCTGTAAGGCTATGGGAGCCCCTAGAATGGCGGCCTGGGCCTGCTTTGTGTATGAGCCTGTTGTCTGACTATTTGCTTCTTGACTTTCCTTTCTAATCTCTATTCTTGTCCGCTTTTGGATTTTTTTATTTTTAATCATTGCACTTTCTTCCTTTGTTAACTTGTTAATTGTATACTCTCTTCCCTTTCTTTTAGTAATTTCCATAGTGGAAACAACATACATCCTTAACTTATCAAGGTCTAATAGAAAATAGTAGCGATTTTACCATTTCCTATACAGTGCTAGGACCTTAAAACACTTTAAGGCTGTTTGCCACTCTTTCTGCCTTTTGTACTATTGTTGCTGCATTTTAAATCCTCTAAATCATTATTACTATTTTATACAGTCAATATTCACTTAAATTTACCCGTGTATTTACCCCTTTCCCCCCTGCTTTTTTTTTTTTGAGACGGGGTCTTGCTCTGTCACCCCGGCTGGAGTGTAGTAGTGTGATCATAGCCCTCTGCAGCCTGGCTCCAGCAATCCTCCCGCCTTAGCCTCCCAAGCTGGGATTATAGGTGCAAGCCACTGTCTTTACCCTTTCTGAGGCATTTTATTTTTCCCTGCAATTCCATATTTCTGTCTGAAATCATTTTCCTCCAGCCTAAAGCATTCCTTTTAGTATTTCTTGAATAACAGATCCACTGATGTCTAATTCTCCTAACTTCTCTTTGTCTGGAAAAGTCTTTCTCATGAAGGCTTCTTAACTAGATTTAGAATTTATTTTGTCCACACTTACGTGACATTTATTTTGTCTGCCCTTCTGAGATACCATTTCATTGTCTTACAGTTTCCATAGTTTCAGTTACAAGTCAGCGGTCAGCTTTAGTTTCTGCCCTTAACGTACATTTTTTTTCCCCTATTCAGGCCCATGAAATTGTATGAGGTTGGTGCAAAAGTAATTGTGGCTTCTGCCACTATGTTTAATGACAAAAACCGCAGTTATTTTTGTACCAACCTAATAAGAAGCTCCGCTCACTCTCACCTTTTCAGCTGTTGCATGTAAATAGACACTTTCAGGAGAAAGAGGGGCGTGATGTCAGGCTCACTTTGTTGTACTTCCCTCATCTCCATGATTGCGGCCCCTGGAATCCTTGTTGTCTTGTTGTTTCTTCAAGGACAATTTAAAAAAATTATATATATAAATATATAATTATATATATACTGTGTGTGTGTGTGTGTGTATTTTTTTTTTTTTTTTTAGACAGCCTGCAGCTTAGGATGGAGTGCAGTGGTGCGATCTTGGCTCACTGCAACCTTTGCCTTTCAGGTTCAAGCAATTCTCCTGCCTTAGCCTCCCAAATAACTGAGATTACAGGTGTGTGCCACCACATCCTGCTAATTTTTGTAATTTTAGTAGAGACAGGGTTTTGCCATGTTGGCCAGGCCTGGCTCAAACTCCTGACCTGAAGTGATCCACCTGCCTTAGCCTCTCAAAGTGCTGGACTTAACAGGCATGAGCCTCTGGGCCCAGCTGAAATAGATTTTTAAAAATATGTTTGCTGTCAGGTTTGTTAAGCTGCCCATGATTTAACCTCTCTTTTTTTTTTTTTTTTTTTGAGACGGAGTTTTGCTCTTGTTACCCAGGCTGGAGTGCAATGGCGCGATCTCGGCTCACTGCAACCTCTGCCTCCTGGGTTCAGGCAATTCTCCTGCCTCAGCCTCCTGAGTAGCTGGGATTACAGGCACGCGCCACCATGCCCAGCTAATTTTTCATATTTTTAGTAGAGACGGGGTTTCACCATGTTTACCAGGATGGCCTTGATCTCCTGACCTCGTGATCCACCCGCCTTGGCCTCCCAAAGTGCTGGGATTACAGGCTTGAGCCACCGCGCCCGGCCTTTAACCTCCCTTTATAAGGGAGGTTAAATCTTGGGCCTGTGTTGGAAAGGCCAGGTCCCCAAGCCGAACCCCGTGCTCCTTTTCCTCTCCCAGAGACTCCTGCCCTTTGGTAGTGGTAGAATTTCAGGGGTGGGCAGTTAAAAGGGCATTAGGGAGGGAAAGTCACTTAGCTCTCCAAGCTAAGGGCACTGGAGGTCAGAGAGACTGCACCATTTTCACGCGATCACACAACAGTGGCTGCACATCAGATTAGCTCTCCAAGAATGAGTCTGGGGAGGGTGTGATGGGGCTGGATGCACCCAGCACAGCCTTGGTGTTTCTAAATGTGGAAGCTGAGGCACAGAATGGGACCTTCCCATAGTGTTTGGGACCTCGGTGTTCTTGGCTGCTTGGCCAGTGCTCTGGGGTGGCAGGGCACAGTGGGTGCAAGGCTCTGATCCCGCCTCTTGCTTCTGGCTTCGTACTCTTGTCAGCCTTCTGAAGCCTTGGGCAGCGGGTGGGGCTGGAGGCATGGGTGCCTGTTGCTGCTGTGAGCTCTGGGTACAGTTCCCTCTGGCCTCTCCTCTCTCCTGCTGATTTCTCACAGAACTTTGGAGACGGTTTCTGAAAGTGACAGTTCTTTTTCTTACTAATCCTTGCAGTTTTCTTCCCACACCCAGTTTCTCTTCCTCATTTCTCCCCACCCTGTTGTGAACGAAAGCCTTTGCACCCAGTCATGCCCTACTTTGCCTCCCTGTACCTCCGTGACCTGACATGTACCCCCAGCCCAAGGCAAGCGTTCAAGGATGGGGGACAGGGTGGGGTGTCTCTGCTCCTTAGAGGAAGCAGGCTCTGGGAATGCAGGTGGGCTTCCTCGACACGGATGATGCTGGTACTGCCCCACCCCGCCATCCCCTAGTGGTTCAGCCCAGCCCAAAGGCTTCAGGCCCGGGGCCCTGGCAGGAGGGAAGGAGATGGTAAGTGAGCTTGGGGCAGGAAGCAGGTGGAGCTCTTGAATAGGAGAATGAATGGCATTTGAAAACCCCTAAGTCCAAAGCACCACCGCTAGCTAGCTGTGTGGCTGCAGACACCCACTGCCTTGCCTCTGGGAAAGCTTGCTTTCACAGGGCCTTAGGAAGTCAGCAGCACTTTTACCTGGTCCAGATAGAGGGCTTGGGAGATGGAGACTGTGGGAGGCCTGCTGGGAAGTTGTTTCCTGCCTTAGAGGCCTAGGACTCTACTGAGGGACCAGCGGTCAAGAACTGAAAGAGGTACTGAGGAAGGAGGACCCGCGGCCTAGTCTCACCTGGCCAGCATCTGAGGGGCTACTCCTGTATCCCCCAGGGTTAGAGGTCTGTCCCACTGCCTCTGCCTTGCCTTTCTTAGACCCAGCAGCTCCCAGGACCTCTCGCCCTGCAGAGTTGCCAGGGACACCTCCTCCTGGGAGCCTGCTTCTGTGTGTAGGGGGCTGGGATTTGATGAGCCCCTGACCCCAGTGAGTTCTTGGCTCGGCCACCCCTGCCTGAAAAGACCGAGGCGGGAAGAAAATAAAAACACGGTAACTAGCCGCAGCTGCCGCTGGGCAATTCTGGCCCCTGTGGCTCCTCTCTCTTCACAGAGGCCTTGGGGGCTGTGCAGTTCTCAGTGCTGTCCAGGTGGACTGTGGCCTTCCCAGCCTTGCACATGGCCATGCCTGTTTTCACAGCCCTCACGGGCCACTCCCAGCAGTCCTCTCATGTGCTTTGTGCCTTGACCCTGTCCACATCCTCTGCAGGCCCAGGTGCTACCTCCTCCTGGAGTCCTTCCCCTTCACATTCCCACGGCTCACCCCTCTGGAGCTCCCCAGCACTTGCTTGCCTGTCCACACGTCACTCTTCCTCACTCACTGCCACGTGCCCCTGGCGCAGCACACCCAGATGCTTTTCTTTAAGCAGTTGAGATGTACTTGGTGGCATGAGCCCCAGGGCAGGAAGGCTCTGAAGAGGACCAGACTTGGGGAACTCGTGGGTGGCCACTGGCCTTCTCTTTTAGGAATCACTCAGCCCAGGAGCTTTAGCCCTGGCTGGGAGTCATACCTTGCCTTGAGCTCAGATGTGTAGCCACTGCTGTGATCTTATGAAAAGGGTGCGGTCTCTCTGACCTCCAGTCCCCTTAGCTGTCAAATGAGAGACACCCTGTGGATGCTCCCTAGGCCTCCTTGGCCCAGCTCTGAAAGAGAACCATACTCCAACAGAGTAGACGGGACCTCTGAAGGGTAGCCATTCCTGCCAAGTGGCAGGGGACGGTGCCAAGGGGCCTGCCTGATGATACTCCGTTCTGTGCATTTCCTCCTCACCAGGCCATCTCCGGAGAGCGCAGAGGAAAGTCGGGAAGTCACAGGCTATGCAAGTTGTATGAGTGAAAGAATGAGACCATGTCACATACTGACTTCGTCTTTGCTTGTTCTCTCTGTCCTTGCAGGGAACTTAGACTGCGGAACTATGTCCCGGAGGATGAGGACCTGAAGAAGAGGAGGGTGCCCCAGGCCAAACCGGTTGCAGGTAATCGGGCTGCCTCCCTCCACCTCGGCTCCCTGGCACTGTCAGCTGCCCTCCGCCTCGGCAGGCTTTGCTCTCTCTTATTAGAGAATAACCAGCAGTACCAGGACAGGAGTTGGGCCTGCAGGCAGGACCCTTTGTCACCATCTCATGGCAGATGCACACATAGTTGGCCTTTGGTGGCAGCAGAGGCTGTCTGGGCACTGAGGAGGCCTCTTACGCCTTCTCCGTCCTGCTCGCACCCTGAGGCCGAGGCCTTCCAGGGATCTGAGTGGGGTCTGAAGGAAGCCACATCCTCTCACAGGACTCCTGGGCTGAGAAGTAGATGTGGTCATGGGGCCTTTGAGCAGCAGGGCAGGGTGATGGGTCCTGTGGTCCCTGGGTGGATCAGAGACAGGGGCCAATCATTCAGCCATGCATAGCAGTGGACAGGCAATGTGGAGCATTGAGGCAGGGGAGAGGGCCTGGGGTTTGCCTAGTCTCTTGCCATGGCATAGGAGCAGCGTAGCCACCAGGAACTCTGGGTGTCCACACATGCCAGGAAGCTTCTTAGTCTTGCGGATCCCTGGGCCCTTGCCCAGAGGCTACCCATTTTAATTCTTTACATTAGTGGGGTTTTTTTGTTTGTTTGTTTTGTTTTTGAGACGGAGTCTCGCTCTGTCACCTAGGCTGGAGTTCAGTGGCATAATCTCAGCTCACTGTAACCTCAGCCTCCTGAGAAGCTGATATTATGGGTGCGCACCACCACGCCTGGCTAATTTTTGTGTTTTTAGTAGAGACAGGGTTTCACTGTGTGGCCAGGCTGGTCTCAAACTCCTGATCTCAAGTGATCCACCCACCTTGGCCTCCTGAATTATTGTGATTCCAGGTGTGAGCCACTGTGCCTGGCCTTGTTATCGACTTTCTTTTAACTGGACAAGTAATGAGTGAATAAATACATTTATGTTGGTAAAAAGTAAAGTGTTGTCTGTTCAGCCACATTCTAGTCTCCGTCCCCACCTCTGTCATCCATGACATCCAGACACTTCCCTGTGATTTGCTTTGTGTTTTGGGCCCCACCTGCTAGGGTAATGGTGCAGTGGGGGACAGAGGCAGGACAGAGGAGGGTGGGGAACTGGCCCCGCGCCTCAGGTCAGGGGCAAGCCCTCAGTTCTCATCTGTGTCTGGAGGGAGGTGATGCAGAGCAGGAAGGGCACTCATGGGCCCACTGGGTGCCAGGGGCTGGAGGAAGCCCACAGAGCCTGGAGTTGTTAGTGCTTCTGCATTTGTCCCCAAGGGGCAGGACCCTCCTGGTCAGACCTCTCAGAGGCCCACTGTGCTGGCAGCAGCTTGGAGGAGCTGGGAGGTGCCTATGCCCTGGTCTTAGGAGCACACACCTGAGGTGGGATGGAGGAAAAGCCCCCTGTGGCTCTGGCTAGGCCGGGACCCAGAGGACATCCTCAGAGCCCAGGAGCCCTGGGATGATGTGAGAAGCTGGGCCTCACTTTGTATGTATCCAGGCAGCGCTTGTCAGCGTCCATGCTTCCTGACTGACTGTGGGTGGCTGCCTCCCGCTGTCCCATTCTCGGCCATGGGGATTGCCGTCATCTTGGGAAACCCAGGCCCCTTCTCCAGAGCTGCCTTTGCAGGGTCTTCACCTCTGGCTGGTTGGGGGCCATGGAGAGGTGGGAGCAAGGAAGCCTGGGGTCCCATCTCTCCTCGGGGGCCACAGCAGGCAGTGTCCCTGCAGAGTGGCAGCGCCTTTCTCACAGGCCTCCTCTGTTGTCTTGCACCCTCTAGTGGAAGAGAAGGTGAAGGAGCAGCTGGAGGCCGCCAAGCCCGAGCCTGTCATCGAGGAGGTGGTGAGTGCCCGGGCTGCCCTGGCCTCCTTGCTGCTTCTGTGTGTCCTGTTTCTCTTCCCCACCTGCTCTCCCTCTGCCCGCTTCCTTCTTGTCACTTCTTTATTCCCTTGCCACCTGCCTCTTTGTCCTTGTCCCTCTCCTTCCTCCTCCTCTTTCTCCCATTTCTCTCCCTCTCTAGCCTGCCCTCCTCCTTCCCCTGGGGCAGCCTCTCCATCCTGATGTGTGTCTCCTCCCTCTTCAGGATCTGGCCAACCTCGCTCCTCGGAAGCCTGACTGGTGAGTATTGCCTGTGCGGGACTGGTACAGGCCGACTTGGGGGCTCTTGGTGCCAGTGTGGGCCTGGGGCTTGGCTCTTTCCATCCACACGGTGTGGAGACTGGCAGTACTGACATAGAGTTACATGAGATGGCTACTGTTGGAAACCAGTGCTGAGGAGGACATACGTGGCGGGATGGGAGGGGAGTGATGGAGAGGGGCTCAGGCACAGGAAGCAGCAGGCTCCTCACGAAGGCCCTTCTGAGAGGCTGAGAACCATCTGCTCCAGAGCGCCTATCTGAGCAAGGCCAACCGCTGTCCTTGGGGGCCCGGGGTGGAAGGAAGGGCAGACACAGTTTTCTCTTCCTGTTCTACAACCGCAGCATGTTCCCTCTGGCTCTGGTTCCCTCCTCTCTGAAACAGAGGTCGTCATCCTTCTTGCTACTCTGGGACAGTATAGGAGAGGGTGCTGTGGCGGTAGGGCTGTATCCCTCTCACCTGATTCTGGGTCGAGTCACCAGCTGAGGTTGTTTTAATTTAATGAAACAAAGCATATGTCCTGGGAAATGCAGAGCCAGAGAGAACGGACTGACTGCTTGTGCACTTCTGGATACCCACAGTTGAGGTGCTGGGCCTGTGGCTGGAGGAGGAGCAGGGCCCACAGTGGGCCAGAGCAAGTCACCCCCGATAGTGACCAGAGGACCAGACCAAGAGAGGGTCCTTGAGAAACCATCCATCTTTGCATGCCTTGTTTCAGCCCCTTGTGTTGGGTGGGTCTGTGGTGCTAGTCCCCCTGCCTCAGTGGGACAGGGAAGGATGGTTGGGGCTAGGTTTCGGAGGGTATAGAGGAGGAATGTCCTGGCCTCTTCCCCAGGGCAGCCCCCTCAAGCAACCAAGCATGACTCCTAATGCCAGAGGGCCGCAAGAGGAGAGGAGGGGGCCCAAGACCACACCAGGCCAGGCTTCAGCCGTCTGCTTCTCTTTGCCTCCCTGCTCCAGGGACCTCAAGAGAGATGTGGCCAAGAAGCTGGAGAAACTAAAAAAGAGGACTCAGAGGGCCATCGCCGAGCTGATCCGTAAGTGCAGGGCCTGGCAAGGTGGGGTCCTGCCCTCTGGGTGGTGGCCCAAGCACAGGGCCCCTCCCCACCACTTCTGTCTGCCATCCATCCCAGGTGAAAGACTGAAAGGTCAGGAAGACAGCCTAGCCTCTGCAGTGGACGCTGCCACCGAACAGAAGGCCTGTGACTCCGATTGAGGCATGCCCTGCCCTGCTACGTGCCTGTCAGGCCTGTCCTGCAGGGGGTGTTCTTGGGCAGGGATTGGGGCGAGGCTTGCCATCGCCTCCAGTTTGGCTTCTGAGCAGAGACTCCCTTCCTGTCAAGTCTGAAACCCCCCCATGGGCGAGGTCAGCTCCTTGTCTCCTGAGTGGCCCCTGCCATTCTAAACGGAGGCAGAACAGCAGCAACTCTGGGTGTGCCTGTGTCTGTACATATGTATGTATATATGTCTGTATATATGTATGTATGTTGAACTTGGAAAAAAAAAATCTCTGGAAATAGACAAGAAAACCCCTGTGTGTGGCAGAAATCTGTCATGTATTTCCTCAGTCTGGGGGTACTGTGGATTTGGGCTCCACGACAGGGTGACTGCAGAGGTGGTACTTAGTATGAATAACCCCTGTGTTGGGCTGGGCATGTTAAGGCTGGAGGGGTGGGGAATGCTCAGCACTGCCTTCTGTGTCCAAGTCCTGGCCCAGTCCATGGTCATTGCGGTCATCTCAAGATCCTTGGGTGATAGAGACAGGGTCTGAGAGAGTTCTTTTAAGACCTCCCCCAGGCCTAGGCCATGTAGTAGTCTGTGGAGTAGCTGGAGAGACTCCCACCCTGGTTCTCTGGGGTCTTCTCACAGTGTGAGAGAGAGTGGACCTTGGCAAACCCCAACTCAGGGCAACTCTAGATTTGAGGCTGCTGGCACTGTGTTCCCCACTCTGCCCAGCCCCAGGCAGCCCCTCTCCCTGCTCCACCAGTCAGAGCTAGACTACGGCCCTCTTGGGACAGAGCCCTTGCATGGGAGGGATGGCCCATTCTGCTAGAGATGGGGATATTGTAGGCTGGGTTTCAGGTGTGGTCATGGACTTTAGATCCCCAAGGTTCTGGCTTTAGGACATGAGCCTCTTCTGTGGAGCAGACTCTCCAGGGTAACTGGCTGGCTGCATCATCTCTGACTGCAGGACTTGTGGCCAACTAGACTTGCATCTCCTCCAGGACGGTTAAACCCTTGAGTTTCCTTTGGGATTTCCCCTTGAGCCTCCTGCCTCTGCCCTAAGCCATTCAGTGTGTTCTTCCTCTCCTATTCCAGAAACACAATGGCCCGTTTCTGGCAGACAGTGCCAAGCACTCTGGTCACAGAGGCAGAGTGGGTTTGTGCACACAGAGACAAGCACACTCACACAACCAGTGAAAAACCCTTTAAGTTAAAATTAGCAACTATTCTTGGAAGGTAATTCCTGTGTGGAAAAGGAACAGAAACTTCTAGCTGTGGGTGAGGGCTAAAGTGGTAGGTGGCCAGCTTCTGCACTGAGTAGTAAGACAAGACCAAGACTCTGACTCCCACATGGGGCAGAAGCCTTTCCAGTATTTCCTAGGTCCAGGGGTACATGCAGGACTGGAGCCAGGCTCCCTCTATCCAGTTGGTAAAACTGAAGCCAGACTTCTTTTCCTGTGAAAAAAGGGGTGAAAACACTCCCTGCATCTCCTGGAATTGCGATTGGAAACAGGATGCTTGTCTGCAGCGGTGGAAGGACTTGGATACCCAGTGACTGGCAACTAGGCTGCCACTGAGCACCAGCTCTGGGACTAGAGTAGGGTTATCCAACAGTACCACAGTCCTGAGAGCTAACGAAACGTGTGCTTCTGATTTTATGACCCTGGATGTTGTCCTGTAAGGAAAAACAGAAAGTACCATGCATCATGAACACTCAAACAAAAATTACAAAATACATGAGAAAATCCATGTCTTAAAGAATGACCAGTAACCCAAGTGGGAGGATTTATACCCAAGGAAACTGAAGTAGTAACAGCCTAAAAGGCTTTAAAAATGAGCATTTGTTTTTGCATCAGAGAGATAAAAGAGGGTCTGGTACCCTTAAGAACAAAGGTTAGACATAAGAAAGAACCGATTAGAAATCTTGGAAAGAAAGAATATAGCTCTTAAAACAAGAAACTTCCTAGAGAGCTAAGTATTAACTTAAAGTCCAAGAAAGGGTTAGTAAATGGGAAGTTAAAGCTGAGACGGTCACATAGAAGGTGGCAGTGACAGATAAAGAAGGCAAGATGGAAGGTGGCTTGAGAACCTTGCCATGCTGATACATGTTCTGTAGATGACAGGAGTTCCAAGAAAAGGAAACCAGAGAAAGAAGTTATTTGAAGAAAGATTGGCCAACCACTTCTTTTTTTTTCTTAAGCAATAAGATACTTTGAAAGAGACCACATTCCTATGACTTGAATTACTGTATATTGTTATAATTGTTTTCTCAGTTACTGTTAACTTGTTACTATGCCTAATTTATAAATTAAATTTTATCATAGGTATTTATGTGTAAGAGAAAACAGTATATATAAGGTTCAGTACTCGACACCATTTCAGGCATCCACTGGGGGTCTTGGCACATGCCCCCCATGGATAAGGAATGACTATATAGCACTATAATGTATTATGGCAATTAAAATCCTTGTATCTGTGAATTAGACAAAGGTGAAGAAACAATTAGTGAATGGGAAACTAGATCTGAAGTTTTCCAAAATGCAGCCCAGCAAGATAAACAGATCAGTAATGTAAAGCAAGAGATTGAGAGACGTGGAGAATAGAATGAAAAGATCCAACATAAAGTGATGGAGTTCCAGGAGGAAAAAAAAAAGTGAAAATGAGGCAGAGGCAATGTTTAACAACAGTGGCTGAGAACGTCCAGAACTTTTGAAAATCACCAATTCACAGATTCAGGAAGACCAGCAAGTCTCAAGCAGATTGATAGGAAAAAATATAAATCCAAATGTTCTGTTTCTTCATCTGGGTGATGATTAGGTATTTTTACTTTATGAATATTCATTGAGCTGTATACATATGTTTTATGCACTTTTCGTATGTTTATTCTAACTCAGCAAATTTACTTTAAAAACCACACTTTTTATTAATCATCAATTGCTACACATAAATTACCCAAAACTCAGGGGCTTAAAGTAATAAACACTTACTACCTCAGTTTTTGTAGGCCAGGAATCAGGAGTGGCTTAGTTGGGTAGGTCTAGTGTGGGGTCAGTTGTGAAGCTGCACTCATCTGAAGGCTGGACTGGGACTGGAGGATCTGTTTGCAAGATGACTTGTGGGGCTATTGAATGGAAGCCCCTGTGCCTTGCCACATGGACTTCTTCACTGGCCCGAGTGTTCTCAAGACGTGGCTGGTGGCTTTCCCAGAGTGGCAATCCAAAAGACAAAGCAGGAAGGAGTGTTGGGCTTCAGATCTTATGATCTGGTCTTAGAAGTGATATTCTGCCACATTCTATTTGTTAGAAGCAAGTCACTACACCCAGCCCACACTTAAAGGAGAAGAATTAGGTTCCACTTCCTGAAGGGGGGACCGTCTAAGAATTTGGGGACTTCTTTTAAAACTACCACATACGTAATCACATTGTGGTAACATTAAAGAGCACAAAGACCAAGAAAATATCTTAAAATTGGAGAGAAAAGACATATTACCTTTCAAGGAACAACACAGCAGCAGATGTCTCAGCTATAACCAATGTTAACAGGAATGAGAGAAAATTGTCATCCTAGAATTGCATACTCACTAACGATGAGACGTGGTTTTTGTTTTTTATAGAGATGGGGTCTCACTATGTTGCCCAGGGTGATGTTGAACTCCTGAGCTCAAGTGATCTGCCCACCTCGGCCTCTCAAAGTGCTGGGATTACAGGCATGAGCCACTGCGCCAGACCTAAGATGTTTTTTAGACCCACAAGGTCAGAGATTCTGTCACCAGCAGACTCTCACTAAACAAAAATCTATTTTGGGGTAATGAAAATGTTCTAAAAGTGATTGTGGTTGCACAAGTCTGTGAATATGCTGAATATGCCAAGGGCCATTGAATTGTACCCTTTAGTGGGCGAACTGTATACATATAAAGCTGTTTTAAAAAATAAACATTCTTCTTTGAAAAAAAATCATAAAGGGTATTTTCAGACTGAGGGGTCACAATCCCAGTTGGAAAGTATAAATGTAAATAAGCACTGACCTTATAAAACAAAACTGTGTTGTGAGGTAAAGCAAGGGCTATTTAGAATACATAACAGTGGTATATAAGTTCAAAGGTAGGAGGTGGTTAGGGTTACAGTCCTTGAAGAAGCTCACTCAGGAAGAGGGGTAAGACTGGGAAACAGGCCGGCTGACATTTCCACATTTCAGGGTAGCCTGAAAAGAGTAGAAACAGAGCGTACTACTTTTAGAGGAGATAAGAAAAAAAAAACAGAAAGAGAAAAAAGTAACGATCCAAAGGAAAGCAGAGGGAAAAGGTAGATTGAGTAGTTGAATCCAAATATGTCAGTAATGGCAAGGTATTAGACTGCTTTTCTTTCTTTCTTTTTTTTTTTCTTTCAACTCAGTTTGCTGGGTTTTTAAAAAACCTAAAGCCAACTGGGTGCAGTGGCTCATGCCTGTAATCCCAGCACTTAGGGAGGGTGAGTTTGCTTGAGTCTCAGGCAGATTGCTTGAGTTCAGGAGTTCAAGACCAGCCTGGGCAACATGGTGAAACCCCATCTTCTACAAAAAAACAAATTAGGTGCGGTGGTGCGTGTCTGTAGTCCCAGCTACTTGGGAGGCTAAGGTGGGAAATGGGCCTGGGAGGTGGAGGTTGCAGTGAGCTTTGCTCACACCACTGTGCTCCAGCATGGGCAACAGTGAGACCCCGCCTCAGAAGCCAATAGAAAGATTGGTGGGGTTAGAAAAGCTCTGTCAAGCACAGGATCAGCCAAAGAACGTGGAGGTGGTGGGAGTGATGCCAGGCAAGGGAGAGTTTCAGAGGTGTCATTAGCTACGTCGGCTTGCTGTGGAGCAGTGATACCTCCCATCCACAGCGGTGGGAGTGTGAAATGTGTAACCACGTTGGAAAAGTTGAACACCTGCATGCTGGGTCCCATCAGTTCCACTCTTACTCCCCTCGAGAACTGTTGCACATGTACACTAGGAGGCAGGAGAGAAATGCTTGTAGAAGCATTCTTGGTGATGGCATGGGCACATGTGTCCACACACACAAACACCAAATCAAAGCCAGAATGTGGTAATAGGTAAGTTGTCATTCTTATAGTGCAATGTTCCATAGCTGTGAGAAGAGCTACAGCCATGTGCAACAAATGGATAGATATTAGAAGCGAGCCACAGGAGAAAGTATGAGCCATTTGTGTGACATTCTGAACAGGCAGAGTGAGACAATGTAAGGACACACGCAGGTGGTAGGGCCAGGGCAGAAGAGCAAGGTGGTGATCGTCAACTTCAGCCTTGTAGTTAGCTCTGGAGAGGGGCCCTTTGAGATAATGACAGTGTGTTTTTCTTGGCTTGAGTGAAGGGAATTTATTCTCTAGACTTATTCATTTTTATACACTTTGGTGTATATGCTGTATTTCAACACACAGGCTTATTTTTATTTTATTTATTTTTTTGAGGTGGATTCTCTGACACCCAGGCTGGAGCGCAGTGGTGTGATCTCAGCTCACTGCAACCTCTGCCTCCTGGGCTCACGCAGTTCTTCAATCTCAGCCTCTCGAGTAGCTGGGACTACAGGTGTGTGCCACCATGCCTGGCAAATTCTCCTGTATTTTTAGTTTTACCATTTTGGCCAGGCTGCTCTCCAGCTGACTTCAAGCAGTCCTCCTGCCTCAGCCTCCCGAAGTGCTGGGATTATAGGCATGAGCCACTGCACCCAGCATATATATATATATATATATATATATATATATTTTAAGAGCAGTTTTACTACATCTGCAGTTTCACTACAGTGGTCTGGATGAGAACATCGAAGCTAAAAAAAAAAAATCACACAAGCTACATGTTAAAATGTTAAAAGATTACCTACAAAGAATTAGTTTCACTTTTCATCAACAGTAGATACCAGAAGATAAAGTTTTCCTAAGTGCTCAGAAAACCAGTGTCAGGTCTGTTCAGTTATCATAAGTAGGGGCATGAAGATGTTTCCAGGCTTATGTCAGTAAGTGTGTACGATGCACTGATCTTTGCTGAAAGAACTAAAGGATGGGATGCTGAGGAAGAACCAGTCTGGGAGTGGGGAGTGGATATGGTAATCAGGACTGTGTTTGGCAGCTACCCACCACCAGGCTTAAGCAAGGAGGGGCTTTATTCTTGTGTTAAGTCCAAGGTGGTACCGTGGCTCCCTGAGGCCACTAGGGATGTAAGTCCCTTCTCCCTATTTGCCATCCTCACTTCCCCCAAGAGGGCTTCTGCACCATCACAGATTTGAGGTACCAGCAGGAGGAGAAGGGCAAAGGGTAGGCTGGCTGAGGAAATCCTGGCTCCCACCCTGTCCACAGGCCTGCCTTCACTTTGCATTGGCCATGACTCTCAGCAGTCAGGAAGGCATGGGGGGATATGGGTGTTTTAAGGTGGGCACTTTGCCAATGAGTTGAGACTGTCTGAGGAAGGTAAAAGATCCTGGGAAGGCAGCCAGCAGTGAGCAGGGTGCAGGGAAGAGCGGTGTGCCGAGACTGGCAAACGCTGGACAGATAGATGCCATTGATGAGCCTCTAGGAAGACTGACACAAAAGAGAAGACACAGATGATGAATATCAGAAACCAAATAAGGGGATCGTACTCCACAGACACCAGGACAGGTAGAGGGCACTGTAAATAACTACCCACGTAAATTCCACAGGTTGTTCAAAGGGACCCGTTTTTTGAAAAGCATAAATACCACATCTCAGCCAAGATGAAATAGATAATTCAAATAGCTCTGCAACTATTAAGGAAAGTGAATTTATTTTAAAGTCCTGAAAAACCTCCAAGGCCAGGTGTTTCATTGGATAATTGATAGGTTTAATATATAACTCTTACCAAAAGCCCAACGAGATTTTTTTTCTGGATATAGACAAGCTTATTCTAAAATGTATTTGGAAAGGCAAAGGAACCAGAACAGCTAAACAATTTTTAACTAGAAGAAAAAAGAAAAAATACTACTCATTTCACTACCCATTGTGGGTTGATTTTACAGTGATAGCAGTCAAGATTGTGACATCAGCAGAAAAAGAGGCAGGATCAGTGAGACAGAATACACAGGCACAGCCAACTTTTTTTTTTTTTTTTTTTTTTTTTGGAGACAGGGTCTCACTCTATCCAGGCTGGCGTGCAGTGGGAAGATCTCAGCTCTCTGCAGCCTCAACCTGCCAGACTCAAGCGATCCTTTCACCTCAGCCTCCCGAGTAACTGGGACTACAGGTGCACACCATCACGCCTGGCTAATTTTTATGTTTTTTGTAGAGACGGGGTTTCGCTTTGTTGCCCAGGCTAAGTGATTTTTGACAAAGGTGCAAAACAAACTGAATGGAGAAAGGATAGTCTTCAACAAGTGGTGCCGGAGCAATGGGAAATTCAAAACAAAACAAAAACCCAAACCTCAGCTCCTATACAAAATTAACTCAAACTGTACCATGGATTTAAATGTAAAATATAAAGCTATGAAATTTTCGAAATGATCAAGAAAAGCTTCAGGACCTACAGCTGGGTCAAGAGTTCTTAGACCTGAGATCCATAAAGAAAAAAGTTGATACATTTAACTTAAAAGTTTTTGCTCCAACAAAGACCCTGTTAAGAAAATGAAAAGCTGCAAACAAAATATTTGCAAACCAAATATCTGATAAAGGACTCATAACTTGAATATATAAAGAACTCCCAAAACTCAACAGTAAGAAAAAAAAATAGTGGACAAAAAACATAAATATTTCACTGAAGAGGATATACAAATGGCAAATAAGTTCATGAAAGATGTTCAACATCATGAGCCGTTAAGGAAATACTAACAAAGATTATAGTATCTTTACACACTTATTTGAACAAATAAAAATAGTGATAAACACAAGAAAGTGGAAAAATTGAATCTCATACATGAGAATCAGGTGGGAATGTAAAATGGAGCAGCCACTCTGGAAAATAGTTTGGCCATTTCTTTAAAAACTTTACACACACTTATATAGCCCATTAGTCGTGCTCCCGGGCGTTTATCCCAGAGAAATAACAAATGTTTACACAAAAACGCATATACAGATGTTCGTAGCAGCTTTATTTGTAGGTTGCCAAAAGCTACGGAAAACATGTCTTTTCGGTAGGGGACAGGTTAACCTGTGGTACATCCGTACCATGGAATACAACTCAGCCATAAAATAGGACTAAGTACTGATGATGCCTGCCACAGCTTGGATCGATCTCAAGGGTGTTAATGGTGAGTGAAAACAATAGGTATCAAATGGTCACATACTATATGGTTCCACTTCTGCAACATTCTTACAGCGACACAGTTACAGAGATGGGGAACAGATTAGTGGTTGCCAGGGGTTAGCGATGGTGGGGACAGGTGACTGTAAGGAGCTGTGTGGAATGGTTGTGATGGAATAGTTCTGTGTATCTTGATTGTGGTGGTGGTGACCTGTATCTACGTACCTGATGAAATGGGATAGAACTGTACACTGCACCTATGTCCAGTTCCTGGTTTCGATATTGTACTACAGTTATACAAGCTATAACCAGGCGGAAGCTGGGCGAATGGTACACAAGACCTCTCTGTGCTTTTAAACTTCCTATCGGCCGCGTGTGGTGGCTCATGCCTGTAATCCTAGCACTTTGGGAGGCTGAGGTGGGTGGATCACCTGAGGTCAGGAGTTCAAGACTAGCCTGGCCAACATGGTGAAACACCGTCTCTGCTAAAAATACAAAAATTAGCCAGGCATGGTGGCGCACGCCTGTAATCTCAGCTTTTTGGGAGGCTGAGATAGGAGAATCACTTTATTCCAGAAGTAGAGGTTGCAGGGAGGTGAGATGGCGCCACGGCACTCCAGTCTGGGTGACAGAGTAAGACTCTATCAACAAAACCAAACTTCCTATGAATCTGTATTTCAAAATAAAAAGGTTAAAAATACAGGTGGTGAGCAAAGAAACTGGTAAAACATGTTACTAAAATATGTGTTTTTTAAAAGTATGCTTTCTGCGTTTAAAAAACAAACATTCTGGGGTCTGGACCACAGTATTGGGGAAGACCAGGGTAATTCAGAATGAGTCTCAGTGATTCATAATCCCCTGAGAATTTGGTAAAGAAAAAAAGTATCAGCCCTGGCCTCAGTTGGAGGGCTACGTGGGGAGGGCACCCTGACGCCCTGGCAACCCCTTTGTCGCAAGCCCTTCCGGTTTTAAGATGGGCCAGTGCGGGCCGGGGCCAGTGCCCATCACTGTGGATGGAGCCCCGGTGTACCT